CCCCCCCGTGTCCAGCCAGCGCCACATCCCACCGGCTCGCACTGCGGCAACGCGGCTGCTGGGTGCGTTACACCAAGACCCCCCAGCTCCTGCAGCATCCAGCCCACGGCCTGCCAGGGTTCGGGGTGGGCAGCACCCCCAGGGTGCTGGCACGGGCTCCGTCTGCTCCCCTCTTCCCACCCCTGAGCCAATGCCACCCTCGATGCCATACGATGGGTGCGTGATGGGGGGACATCTCCAGCCGGACTACGGTGGCTCTGCCCGCCCCGGTCCCTGCACAGTGTCCGCACGCTCTCGCGTCGCAGCTGGGGGTGAGGAGGAAAGGTGCCCTCACCGCCAGGAATATCTGCGTGGCACTGCTCACGACCTCGATGTACTGGTAGTCGAGCAGGCAGCCGCTGACGGTGATGACGTGATGGTCCTCGGGCGCCAGGTTGGAGTTCAGCACCGGCGTCACCAGGCAGCCCGGCCCGTTCTCCATCCACCACGAGCGATGCAGTGAGGTATTGAAGGTCATGATGAAGTCTCGGTCCTGCGGGAGGGGAGCAGAGGAGGCACAGCCCGTGGAGCTGAGGTTCTTTGTGGAGAAGATGGTCAGAAAATGGGCTTTACCAACCCAAAGGTGCTCTATGAGCATTGCACCCACCCAGACCACGGCAATGCAGCATGGCCAACAAACCCCTGCATCTCCTTAAGCCGCAGCCGGCATCCACGGGGTTTGTGGCTTCCTCCCACGCTGGCATCACAGACCGCTTGGTCAAGCAGCACCCAGCTGCGCCGCGATGCCCAGGTGACACGGCGGATGTCACGGGGCGGTCACCAGCGTGGCAGCCTGGCCTTGAGGCAGGGAAGAAGTTGTCCGCGGTGCTGGCGCTCGCGATGCTGCCGGCTGCATCCAGCCATCCAAGAGACGGGACTGTGGGATCCCCCCACCAGCGTGGTCCAGGGGTGCAGAGCAGAGAGCGTTTTGGGGCATCGTGCCACCCACTCACGCACGTCCCCTGCTCCTATGCCCGCTGCAAGGCTGTGGGGCTCTCCCTGCTCCTTCTCCACCAGCTTTCAGGCAGCAGCGCAGCGGGCAGCAGCCTCCCCGCGGCTGCGGGCGCTCCACGGGGGGGGGTAAGACGCAGGGCTCCGC